CATTTGAAAAGGCAAAGGTCCATCCTTTGCCGACCTGCATGCAGTCACATTTGAAATGACATATTTGCTACCTGCTTAATGGGGACCCATCAGTTTTTTTGCCATGGGGAACACTTGTCAGTGATTGATGTCACAGTCCCAGCAAAGTCATGTAAAAGTTCTTGCTTTTTCATATTTAAGAATTAACTCTACTCCAGTAACATGGTTCAACCTGAGCACACAGTTCCACATACAGAACTGCGTTTTGCTTCTGTCAGGCAATGCAAGAAACTGAAGCCTGGGCCTGACACAACTCTGATAACGTAATCCAAAGCTTTGCTTTCTAAAGAAGATGGGATAAGATGATTTCCAGAGTTCCCTGCCCAAATAGACTTCTCTTCACTGCATGGTTCTCACACTCTCAGAACAAAAAGCATTCGGTGCTTCTCAAAATTACCCCTCATTTCTGAGTTTGCAAAATGGTGATTTAAGTATTGCATCCTGATGAGGAGGCATATTTGTAATTTGCTCATCAGAAATCTTCCTTTTTCAAATAAAGACAACTATTACCTTGCCTAATAACATCTAAGAGACTGCTAAACAGATAAAGAGGGTTCATTACAAACATTTCCTACAGAGAAATAAAAAATGAAGCTCATAGCTGAGTGTATCAACTTTTCTCCTTTTCCCCCATTATTTTTAATCCAAGTTGATGGTATTAAAATTGACAAGAGTCTCTGTTTGAAAATTCTGAACCAATTAACTGTGTAATGTTATGTACTAAGAGTCTGATTAATTTGATTTAGAGTCCCATACATTCCACTATTTAACACATTTCACTGCATAAACATCACCATTTAACACACGTGCTGTATTTGCTCTTTTCATTCCATACACAGAGCACCCAGAAGAGTAGGAGCACACTGGAATTAATTAAATAGGAAAACCAAGTCATCATACATTTCAGGTTCTAAAATTATTCTTAGTAACAAATTTCAGACAGAAAAATCTATTCTTAGGTGATTGGCAACTGCTGTTCTCTCAGGCTGCAGAGAAGAGGATGCTCTGCTGAAAAAAAAAAATCAGGAGCTGGAATACTGAAATGAACAAAACTCAGCAGCTCTCACATTGCATTTCAATACTCTGTCACTGACAGAGCAAACCTGCAACAAAATAAGGTTTTTCTGTTACAAGTAAATATTACCTTAATTGCCACCTGTAGTTCTGTTAATGTAATTAATATCATTTTCATAATGATGCCTTAGAGGACAAACAAAAAATGATAAAACACATCACAAAACAAAACCAAGATTCACCCATCAGGCTACTTTTCAATAAGGAGAAATAACTGGAAGCATGAGATGTACTGTATTTCTTCCATACCTTTCAATATTCTTTTAACCCACAAGAGCTTATTTTATTTATTGCATTGTTTTTTAAAGTCTTTTATGCCATTTTTTTCTTATTGCTCACTGAGATGGAGATAGGCTTATTTACTTCTGCTCCCTCGAGTAGGACAAAATTGCTGCCAATGGTAATTTATGTAATTAACTAATCAGGGTATTTAGACATAAGAAGAAAATAATTTCGACCAAATATTCTTGCTTTTTACTACTTATTGCCTCAGGTTTAATTTTTTTTTCCTAGTAACATTAAAATAAAATTCAGATTTCCAAAAAGCAGGTGATCTTTGCACACACTGATGGTTCTACAGTTTCTTCCATTTTCTTTCTATATTTTCTTACATCCTCTTTCATCTCTATATTTCTACAATAAAATCAAACTGAATCATTTGAGTAGGGATGATGATTGGACTCCGTGATCCCAAGGGTCTTTTCCAACCTGAATAGTTCTATGATTCTATGATTACAGTTCCTTAACAGGGATCATGATATTTATATTATTATACTTACCTAGAAGTAGCATAACACAACCACTTCCCCTTTTATTAGTGAAAAAGTGAGCTTTATTATTCCTAAATCATTACTATTATTGTTATTATTTCTAAAAATCAGTATACACACCCTTAGTGTTAAGTGTTTTTGCTGTGACCTCCAGTTTCTCCAAAGGTTCTGTTCCAATATTTTCCAACTTGATGATGAGCTGCTGGGTCTCTCCATTGTAAAGCTGGACAGACACATTAGTGGAGATTTCATCCCCTGAAGAAGGCTGAAGTGTATGAGCAGACCTGCAAAATGTGACACACAAAGTACTATGATAAACATCTTCAGTCCTGTCCAACTTACTATCTTCTATCAACTGTTCTTTGAAGACTCCAACTACTGCTCTTCAATCTTGAAAGTGTTGGATCTCATTTTCCATTCTTGCTTTTTTGCAGGGTAAATTTTATAACCATTACAGACAAACACTGATAATTTATGCATAAGACAAATAAGAGTTCAAACAATACAAAATGTGTATTCCTAACTGTGAAAGCTTGTTAAAAAATGCTGCAAAAAAAACCCAAACATAAGGGAAAGAATAAAAGCAAGAGCAGGTCATTAGTATAAGCAAACTTGAAAAAAGTGATATCTGATCAACCAAGTGTTGGAATACCAGGGTGGAGTAACAATGAGTATCAAGAGCTGAATATAAAACAAAAATAATAAAACACAAAACTGAGGAGAACAGGAAGTTGAGCATACATAGGAGAAACCAGGGGGAAAGTCCCCTGTGAGACTCTGAAGTCCAGACTGTGCTCTGATCAGTCCATAAAAACTACAAATGTCAGAATAAAGTTAACTGGTGGGAGAAACAGCTGCAAAGAGATGAAACCTTTGTACTCAAAAGTGATATTATCTCACACTGTTTGGCATTCCCAAACCCCACGAATATGCGATAGATCACATCCTGGGCTGCATCCAAAGAAGTGTGACCAGCAGGGCCAGGGAGGGGATTCTGCCCCTCTACTCTGGTGAGACCCCACCTGGAGCCCTGGGTACACCTCTGGAGCCCTCAGCATAGGAAAGACATGGAGCTGTTGAAGAGGGTCCAGAGAAGGGCCACCAAGATGATCCAAGGGCTGGAGCAGCTCTGCTCTGGAGACAGGTTGAGAGTGTTGGGGCTGTTCAGCCTGGAGAAGAGAAGGCTCCAGGGAGACCTTAGAGCACCTTCCAGTGCCTGAAGGGGCTCCAGGAAAGCTGGGGAGGGACTTTTCACCAGAGAAGGCAGTGATGGGACAAAGGCTGATGATTTTAAACAGAAATAGGGTAGACTGAGGTTAAACATCAGGAAGAAATTCTTCACCATGAGGGTAGAAAGGCACAGGAACAGGTTGCCCAGGGAGGTTGTGGCTTCCCCATCCCTGGAGGTGTTCAAGGCCAGACTGGATGAGGCTTGTGCAGCCTGGTCTGGTGGGAGGTGACCCTACTCATACGAGGGAGGTTGGAACCTGATGGTCTTTAAGGTCACTTCAAACTTCACCATTCTGCTCTTCTGTATATGGAATGAAGATTAAAACAGCTTTAATGACAGATAAGCTGCACTGACTTTTTAATGCAGCTGTTCACCCAGCAACTGTTTTGTTAAGGGATCATAAACAGCACCTGAGATCCACTTCCTGGAGCAATATATTGTAAAAATAACTTACAGATGAAACGAAAGTAATCTATGAGTTATATGTGCTGTATGTCTTATATGGATGGTTATTTGAAGCTTCAGAAACATGGGAATTTATTTAAATGAGCATCAAGTATTTCATTTGAAGGCAACAAAAGTGTCAAACCAGTCGATTACTGAAATAGTAGATATGGACAGTGCTGTGACAGCATGTCATGGATAAAGGAGAAATGAGCAGTAACCTTGACCTTTGCTAGGAAGAACTAATAAAGGAGCTAAGACAATGCCATTTTAGTGAGCAACAGAGGGCAAAAAGCTCATGGGAGCAGATCCTGAAAGAAATTCGCAATGTGAAAGGTGAAACAGTGAATATAAATTAAGTCTTTAGAACAGTAAGGAGGACTGCAGAACACAACAGATGGGCAGAGACTGACTGTATTTTTCATACTAATGCAAAATGTTCAGAAGGGATCAAGGATACAAGGGCAAAAGTTACTGAGATTAATGACTGATAAACCTGTTGATAAAGGTTCAACAGCTTCTTTTGGCAGGTATTACTGCTATCCCTCCCTCCTGTCCTATCCTTCCTTAGTACAAGTTAAGAAACTTCCACAAACTGAAGCAGATTTTAGTCATTCAGAATGCATCCATGACAACAAGTACTTAAAACATGTATTTTTTGATAATTTAAAATGTACTGTCATGTATCATTACCATTGCAGTCCTCTGAAGTTTGGGCATTTGGAGTGACAAGGAAGAAGGAATTTCTTTTCTCCCCTCATATTTAGACAAAAATACCAAGGAATTGCATACTAACAGACCAAACAAATGGTACTTTCAGTTACTGTACAAATGTACATCTGAAACCTGAGCACAAGCTAATTCAGCTTTCAATTTTTATTCTGTAAAACAGCTTCTTTAATTAAAAAGCATCTCAGTTCTTGCATAAGTACTTTATAGTCACCAGCTTTGTTCTGAACTTGCAAGAACTCAGGTCTGAGACTTCTCATGGGGATATTGGCAGATGAAAAATTATATATGAGCCAGCAAGGTGTGTCTGTAGCCAAGAGGAAAAACAGGGCAGGCTGACACCACCAGAGTATCTGTTGTGACCAGATCAAGGGAGGTGATTCTGTCCCTCTACTCCACTCTGGTGAGACTTGACCTGGAGTAACATGTTCAGCTCCAGAGGTCCCAGCATGGGAAAGACATGGAGCTGTTGTAGCAGGTCCAGAGGAGGCCACAAAAATGGTCAGAAAGCTGGAACACCTCTCCTACAAAGACAAGCTGAGAGAGTTGGGGTTGCTCAGCCTGGAGAGGGCTCTAAGGAAACCTTCTTGCAGCCTTTCAATACTTAAAGGGAACTTGTAAGAAAGGTGGAGGGAGTTTTAACTCAGGTCTGTAGTGACAGGACAAGGGGCAACAGTTTTAAACTAAAATAGGATAGGTTCAGATTGGACATAAGAAATTCCTTCCTGTGAGGGTGGTGAGACACTGACCCAGGTTGCCCAGGGAAGCTGTGGCTGCCCCATCCCTGGAAGTGTTGAAGGGCAGGTTGGATGGGGCTTGGAGCAACCTGGTCTGGTGGGAGGTGTCCCTGCCCATGCAGGGCGGTTGGAACTGGGTGATCTTTAAAGGTCCCTGAGGATTCTGTGAGGGAAACATACATGTTCTGAGCAACTTGAACTAACAATTAAGTCATATCACTTGTCAAAGTTGGCTCCTTTTGAGCAAGATCCTGGACCAGAGGCACCGTTTCCAAACTACACTATTCCATTGAGTGCCTCTTCAAGAGTTTATGAACAATAAGCCTTTAAAGGATTCAGTCTTTATTTTTAAAGTATTATGTTAATAATAAATAGCCATTACACTCCCTCAGCTAATTAAATCTAAAAATATTTTCTATTAAATTCCAGTATTTCAAGCAATAAAAAGAACTCAGATTTCTATTCTAAAGTAAAAAGCACAGCTATAGTTTGTCTTGTTTTACTAAAGCACTGATTATATACACACACAGAGGAGTTTTTATTCAGTGAGTAATGTTTAAATATGAGCAAATAAAATAACAATGATGTTTCCCACCTTGGAAGGGAGGTACTGATCTGCAGCCTTGGCAAAGCTGGAATGACTTCAACAGAACAGCCATTGGTCTTCACTCCTGGCAGATTGTCCAGGAGGCAATCACTGAAGACTCCAAAAACTGAAGTGTGGTAACCTAATTTTTAGAAGAAAACACCAACATGTTGTGAATCTTTCTGTTTTCTGAAAGGTCCAAAAGTACTAAGGATACTAGTCAGATCTTGCCAATATTTCTACTGTTCAAACCACCACCTTCTCTACAGGAGAATCTTCCATAAAATATGCAAAAGGTTTTCAAACCCACTAAATAATGTTTCTAAGTCCATGACAACTTACAAGCAACACATGCGTCTGTATCTGTGACATGTAAAGTAAAAAATAACAATAATCCATAAAAATCCATGAACATACCATGCATTATGGTAAGTTCTGTAGAACCTTCACAAGATCAACATTACAAGTTATACAACAGAGACAGCCATTTTATACCACATCACCTAATCCACTGGTGCACATAAAACCTGTTACCCTTCAGCATATTGTAACAGTTCCCTGTTTCCTCCAAAGAAAGTTTATAGGAACAAGACTCAGGTGTATCTAAAAGCTAAGGAAAAAAGAAACCTAAAGGAAATAAGTCAGAAAAAAAAAAAAAAAAGACATGTATATACAGACACCTGCTATAAAAGACCACAGTTTGTCTGTCCTCCAAAAGTTCAGTTTAGTAGGAAATCTCTCCACCGCAGTTCCTCACCAGGCAATATATACCAGCCATATCTGAAGTAAAATTTCATATATTGACACACAAAAAGATGCCAAATACAGAAATCAACTCCTCTGCTTCCAATATATATTTAGTATGTGAGGCTAAAGCAGACAACTACAGCACAGATGTTCTGCAGGCTTTGATGCTATTCTGTATTTATTGAAATAGTTGAGGAATTGTTCTACAAGCAGGCAGAAAAGCACTGAAGAAAAACTCAGTAAGAACAGTTTCTTCAAGTTCAAAACATTTCTTCTTTTGGTGTTAATGGTTCCTTTCCTGTAGCCCTGTGTTCCAAGAACATGCACTTGAAATTCTGTGTTGGTAAGATGACCCAGTCCTACTACTTTTTGAATCCATCTTCTCCACATAGATCTCCTTTTCTAGGAGACTCATCTGTTTATCTTCTACATAAGGTCTTTAAATCTCTTTACTTACTACAAACACAATTCTATTTAGGCTTATAAATGAAATGTTATCTCAACTGCAGCAGCCTATACACATTGACTAAATTGTTTCTACACAAACAATCTGCAAAAATTTCTGTAATCCTACATCAACACTATATATTTTAGGAAAATAAACTGCAAGATTTATCTTCTGCATTCTCATTAAACAGTTCAAGTAATCCTCCTCAGAAGCTTTCCAAATTAAAGCATTAATAAAGGGGACTTTGAGTTCATTATCCTTTTCCTCTCATATGTGCGATATTGTAAATATGTGCTCATTAATACTGTTAAATCAGAGATTTCTCAAGCTGTGTTTTTCCTCTAGTATAGAAAACAGATTTTTTTGTTTTGTTTTTTTTATTTTACATACCAAGAATTCAGAATGGCAAATACATAAAGTACAGAAATTCAAAATGTGTTGTAGAAACTTATAAATCCACAGAGACATAAAACACAAGGTTGTTTTGCTAGGAAGAGAATGACTAAAGATATCCCTTACCATTGACAGTGATCTGCCCAGTGGTTTGAGGAACACCAACGAGAGTCACTGGATAGAGCCCAGATTCAGCAGGTAGAGAAAGAGCTGCAGGAAGAGATTCAAATTCTACTCCTGTTGTCAAGAGACCCTGAAAAAGTCAGAGAACACAGGTAAGTCCATTTATGACATACACTTACATTTTTATCAGTTAGATTTTAAGCCCTTGCATTGTATCACCTGAACTTTCACAGAATCATAGAATTGTCAGAGTTGGAAGGGACCTCTAGAGATCACCTGGTCCAACTGCTAAAGCAGGATCACCCAGAGCACATTACCCAGGGCTGCATGCAGGGGGGTCTGGAATATCTCCAGAGAAGGAGACTCCACAACCTCCCTGGGCAGCCTGCCCAAGGACTCTGTCACCCTCACTGTAAAGAAGTTTTTTCTCATATTTAAATGGCACTTCCCATGTTCCAGCTTGTGCCCATTTCAACAGTGGAACATATTTCAGGATCTCAGGTGGAAAAAAATGTATGGAAAACAAATAAAAAAATTAACCCAAGCAGAGGAAAAAGAATGACTGATTCAACCCACATGATGATGTTTCATACCTATGTTTATTGTACCTGTGACCTCTATTTGCTTGTATTTTGAACTGTGGAACCCAAACATCACTACTGGCTCTTGCTTAGCTTTAATTGGAGTCCTAGCCAGAAAATATTTATCTATGGGGAGAAAAAAAATGGTGCATTTACAGATAATAAGAACAAGCCTTGCTTTTCTATCCAATCTAAACATCTTGGTGCATTTGAAACCCAGTTAATTAACTGAAGATGCCTGAATACAGAATATTCTGTTGCAACTAAGAAATATAACGTGAAGAACAGATGTCTAAGTTACCAGCTGCATTTCTATATGGATAGATTTTTATTTTTTAATAAGGATGCCATAGAAGTATCTCCATCAATTAATGCAGTAAGTACAACGAGACTAAACCTGAACTCCATGAGGAAGCTTCACAGGAACTCAAAACTCTGTGAAAGAGGTAGACACTATTTTTGTAAAGACATATGACAAAACTCATGCTTTGAGCCACGAAGAGACTGAAGACTGAACAAGGAGATTAAGAAGCAGCAGCCTTATCTGCACAGGGCCAGAACACCAGCATTGCTTTCCTTTGAAAACACCTCTGTTGGCCAGGTTTTAATCCAGTTAGGGTTTGAATGATGTACCTCTAATGCTGCATCAGCTGTACAAGGCAGACTGACCATCTTGTGTATCCAATTCTCAATTAGAAATTAGGAGAATTGATACTCCCATAACAAGTACTTAAATAAATGCAAGTGTAACCACTGGAATTACCCAGCCAATGACTGAAACTTGACTTGTCATGTACATTGCGTTTTAATGACCTGGTTTGCATTGGGACCAACCAACACCAAGACTTCTTCAAGCAACTCCTAGATATTAAACAAAATAAACCCACCACTAACCAAAAAATGAATTAAAAGCAATTTCTTCTCTCCTCTGAAGGCAGGGTGTCTTCTGGAGAATTAACAAACAATCATCTTTTACGTGATGCTACATAACAACTCATTAAATGCTTTGCACATAAGATTTTTAACAGTCCTAAAGACACCAGAAGCTTAAGAAAACAAATTGGACAGGTTTGTCAGGTTTCTGATTTATCTTCTACTGAAGATCTGAAGTCACAAGATTACTGTAATATATCCAAAAGCTAAGTTCTAGAAATTACTTCTTTGTAGACTTGACACTGTTGAGGCAGCACCTAATTCAATCCAAGCTGTTCTTCCTCTATGGAATGGTGCTTTGGAGTGCTCTTCTTTCCTAATATTGCACTAAATTCCATTTTATCATTTAGGCTGAGTTATAAGAACACTGTGTCAAACCCTCATTTCTACTGAATATTTGCTTCCCTGCAGTTTCTCATGGAGACTTCAGCCATCAGAAACAATCCACAGAAAAAGTAAATAAAAACTAATCTGTCTCCCCATAGATTCACCACCCAGTCTGTCACAACACTGATGATTTTTGATCCTCAGTACAGATTTTTGATTCTCACTGCAGAAACACAAGCTTGGTCACTACTTTTCCAATAGGTACATGGATGTAGCTGGGAGCTGGAGCAGGCTTTGTTTGCACCCTTGATGGTACTTCCTTGCAGCATTGCAGAATAAGGAGATCAAAATAATTATTGCAAGAATTACACAACACAAACTAATTTTTGATATGATGCAACATAATTGACTGCATGTGACTGAATACTAATCCTTCTAAGTGGGATTCACCTCAATTAAATCCTTTCATTCAAGGACTTCAAGATTTAAAACAATCAATGACCAATAAAAAACAAACCCTCCGATCTCTTTTTAGTCTCAGCTATAGCAAATCTAAGTAAATCAAATTGACAGGGACTGCTAAATATTATTGAACCCCATCTTCATACTCTGAATGCGGAGCCAACTCCACCTTAACCACTCCCAGTATGTTTATCTAGTGAGTTTTGGAATGTCCCTCAGTGATAGTCTCTAAGAAGGGATTAGGTAACACTGGACGGCCTTTCCCATTCAGATTTACTCCTTATAATACAGTGAACTTACCTTGTAACAATTAAATTGTTGGTTTTCCATTCATAAAATCATAGAATGGTTTGGTTCAGATGGGACCTTAAAGATTACCTATTTCCAACCCCCCTCCCACCAGACCAGGCTGCTCCAAGCCCCATCCAACCTGACCTTGAACACTTCCATGGAGGGGGCATCTGCAGCTTTTCTGAGCAGCCTGTGCCCGTGTCTCACCAGCCTCACACTAAAGAATTTCTTCCTAATGTCTAACCTAAATCTCCCCTCTTCTAGTTTTAATCCATTCACTTTTGTCCTTTCTCTACAAGCCCTGGTAAAAAGCCTCTCCCCAGCTTTCCTGTAGGCTCTTCAGGTACTAAAAGGCCACTATAAGGTCTCCTCAGAGCCTTCTCTTCTCCAGGCTGAACAAGAGTAAAACAACCTCAAGGGAGGTGATAAAGCAACACAGCCCAGAGAAATGCATCTAAAGTAGCTGTGCTTGCACATCTCTGGGCTGCCATTTGACCTCAAAATTTCCAATGAAAACCTCACAGTGCAGTGAGAGTTTTGATCTATAACACAAATGAGTTCCCTCATTGCAGGAAATTGAGGCCTGGAATGAACCCAAGCCAAATAACCCTGAAGAAACTAAAGATCACAACCACAGGGGAAAAAAATAGGGAAATTAACTGAGAAAAATTAAATAAATCAATGGTAATATTTTTAAAGGGCAATGGCCAAGGCTTAGGAAAGGCAATGATCACAAGGCAGCTGTTAGAGAAAGCATCTTCTTGGCAAAAGAATTTAAACTCAGGATATGTTAACAGTCAAATCTAGACAAAAATCAAGATAAATAGGCAGTAATAGAGAAAAAGGCACACAAATGCCTCTGGAGTGCAATCACCAGAAATGTGCAAGTGCTCCTGGACTAGAAGGAAGAGTTACTAGTAAGAAAAATTGCTGGTATTAAATCGATTTAATAACAGTAGGGAAGGGGAAAAAAATGCTACAGATAGTGGAGATTGCTCCCTAACCCCTGAATTCGTATCAAAATGACACCCTTGGATCATGCTGATCATAGATAACTACTACAGCAAAGTAAGTACTCAGCACAATTTTTCTTAGGATGCATTAAGAATGCATTCTCAGTCTATTCTTTAATACCAAAAAACATGGGATCCAAGGGCTTTCCTACAGAACAAATGCAATGGAAATGCCAAAGCACCTGCACTAAGCACATACTATCCCTGGACTAGAAATAAAAGAGCCTCAAGCACATTATCACAGGAAAGAGAATACTGCATTCATGTCTCTGATTATACGAGTTCTACTATTCAGTAAAACTTTGAAGTTTTTGAAGTAAAGATATGAATAAAACAAAAACTCACTGAAATAGGGAAAAAAAAAAAACAAAAACCAACAATATAAAGCTCAGGTAGCTGTGGAGTTCCATACAAACTGAAATCAAGATACTTAACCCTTCAAACTTAACCCACACAAATAAGTCTTTTAAGACAATGACACATCTAGAATCTCTGAAAGGCATTTTCAATATTATAGCAGAATTCAGCAATATTTGCCCAACATTGCCCTCTGGTGCCTGAAACTTTTTTTAGATTAACAGTGACAATCAAATCAAGGCTGAAGTTCTGTCATATCCTTTACAAACATAATAAAAAATAAAAGGAAGTGTCAGATGTCTTTTCTCTTGAGTCTTATACCTTATTTCAAGTAATACCATTTAGTAATCATTGCTCTTTCTGACCTCATAGGAAAAGTTTAGCCCTACACAGTCTCCTTCAAGCAATATATGAAACACACACACACAAAACCTATTTTACAGTTCCTTGTATTCCTATTAAGCAATTTAAATTGTCTTAAGAGTGAAGATAATGCATGCTATTATCACAGCATGTCTTTCAATCACTTCAAACCCCAATTTAGTTTTAGAGAAACAAAACAACTCGTATGTCAATGGCAGCACTTGGGGATGAAATTAGTATGAAACTGGGTTTTTTAGGCTTTACTTGCCTATCCTGAAATGCAGCCATTCTTGTTTTAAAGTAACACAAGTTAGTTTTCACAATGTACATATTTTACCCCATGTTGCCAAACAGTTTACTGTCAAATATTTATTTAAAAGAAATTTTCCCTTACTATTTCTAATGACATTCTAGGCAGGCTTAGAAAACACCAAAGAAGACCGTTTTCATCTTTCTTCCCTTCACCTTTTTTGTCTGCATTCTTGCCCAATACAGCTTCAATTAAATTTTGTCTAGCAGTAAGTAAATGTTCTCTCAAGACAGCAGAAACTGTAAGAAGATGGGAACTCACTAAAGAGTAGTTCATGGAAACAACTTAAAAGATCATCAAGTAAGTGATGGGACTGATTATAAAGATTTATCAGAATTGAAGCTGGTAATTTTAAACATCAGCAAAGGGCTCTTGGCTAATAGTAAAGTTTTGAAGTTTACCAAAAAAATGTAACTGCCATTTTTATACCATCATTAATCAAATTACCATATTTAAAATTGTCATCAAATAAACACACTCCAAACAGAAGAGAATAATGAGCTTTTAATACTATAAACTACATTAGCCCATGTTTTGGGTGGGTATATTTTAGTTTCTCCATATTATTTAATACAGTTTATGCTACTGTGTATATATTACAGCCTTCTTAGAACCACGGTTATATTTTCTACAGTAAGTGCAAAAGAAATGCTTTCACTCAATAAATAACATTGTCTCAGGTTGGTTTGTTGGGTTTTTTTGGCCTTTAATATGAAATTTGAGAAACAGAGGGAAAAGCAGTTAAAATCTTAGAGGACTTAACACTCTTCGCACTGAATCTTCACACGCGTGTAATTTTAATAGTAGATCTCACTAGATTGTACAGTGATTTACTGCTTTAAACATTTATCCCAGGATGCAGCATAAATCCATCAGAGATTCCCCAGAATTTGGGGGTTCTTTCCAAGCACTGAGATCTGAAGGCCAATTTTTCCTAAAGAGAAGACAGGCTCGGTCACTGCAAGAGATGGGATCGATCACTCCCATCCCTGAACCAATCTGTACAGAAATTAATATTACTGGGAGAAAAAGTGAAGGGGTAGATACACTTATTTACAGCTGAAAATCCTATCTTCTGTTAACCTGGGCTCCACAACCAGGATCTCAAAAATATTCTGTCTAATCCATTGCAGTCAAAGCTAGTTAGGCTCATTTTTGCCTCTTTTACTCTGTTGATTAAAGGTACGTGCCAAGTTTTATTAAAGAACTTTGTCTGATCACCCCTGTGCTGTCTCCTACTTACTGAAATACACAGTTCTTGGACTTCATCACCTCCATATTCCATGATTAAACTTTTTTATTTGTTATTTTACAAACACTATTGCACCTTTCAATGGATCAACATTCTGACTATGAGGACAAGACCATTAAAAGGACAGAAAAGTCCTTGACAGAAACGGGACACACATGAAGAACAGGTATCTAAATAGAGTCCCAGGTCATAAATATGGATGACAGGGAATAAACAGCAAAAACAACAAAGAGGGGCAGAGAGCTGTGAGAACAATAAAGTAAAACAAATAAAAAAATCAACTTTCAGCCATAACAAACAGGAAGACACATTAGGAAAAGTACCATGATAAAAGTTTGGAATGATGCCTCCAGCATTCCTTTATACATTCAACAGTTAACAAATAATAAACTGAAAGATGAAGAAAAGGGAACATTAGAAAAAAAGAAATAAGACCACAAAGTTCAGGACAGTTAAATGTTGATGAATGGTGAACCACAAAAAGTGTAAAGAACAAAGGAACAAGGGGTAATGGGTGCAAATTGGAGCATAAGAGGTTCAAGGTGAATATTCGAAAAAAATGTTTTACTGTGAGAGTGACAGAGCCCTGGGACAGGCTGCCCAGGGAGGTTGTGGAGTCTCCCTCCCTGGAGACATTCAAAACCCACCTGGGGGCGTTCCTGTGTGATGTACTCTAGGTGACCCTGCTCTGGCAGGGGGGTTGGACTAGATGATCTTTCGAGGTCCCTTCCAACCCCTAGGATTCTATGATTGTATGATTCTATGAACAAGCAATGGAGAACTCAAAGAACTGCCAGTCATTGGAAACAACCTTGAACCAGCACTCATACTGCAAAGGGAAGACACTGAGTCAGAAGGGAAAAAACCTGTGGGAGAAATAAGCTGAATCTGCCACTGAGTGACAGGAAAAGATACACTTGCTATGAAAATGATGCTGTGAGACTAAGGAATATGAAAGAATGTGATACACGATGAGAAATCAGACAACAAGGGGACAAGGGACTGCAGGCATTGGGTACACGTTAATAATAAACCAAAACATTTTAAAATATTAAACAGTGCATTGAATTATTAAAATAAAAACAAATGAGCTTATTCTTGGAATAAAGTAATAACTACTCTCACATTCTGGAAAGCTCACAGAGGAGACTGGGAAATCAGAACCATTTCAGCTGGAACGTAATGTGAGAGATCCTCTTGCCCAGCCCATTGCTCAAAACAGGACAACTCTGAGGGCAATGTAGGGTTTTCACTGATCTATAAACTTTTCAAGATTTCTAAAGCTGGATATTCCACATTCTCTGTCGGCAAGCAGTTCCAGTGTATGTTGGGGATGTTCAGCCTGGAGAAGAGAAGGCTCTGAGGAGACCTTAGAGCACCTTCCAGTGTCTGAAGGAGCTCCAGGAAAGGTGGGGAGGAGCTTTTGACAAGGGCTTGTAGTGAGAGGACAAGGGGTGATGGATCAAAACTGGAAGAGGGGAGATTTAGGTTAGACATCAGGAAGGAATTCTTTAGTGTGAGGCTGGTGAGACCTGCAGTAAATGTATCCTGAAGTGGATGTAAGCACTCAGAAGAAATTTCCTCATTAATAAATTAAGAAATTATCCAAAATCGGATTTTTAAATATATAATTAGATCATTACTTACACAATACTAATTAGAGTATAAATCAAAATAATCTTAAAGAAATTAATTCCTGTGTAGAGTCCTTTCTCATGAGCAGCTTTACAATTACTTTCTCTGTTTCCAACAGTCTGGAATATTTCTATAAGGGGGAGATAAAAAGCTGATGAAGAAACCAGTGTGTTAGATTCCAAGAATTAATTTAGTCTTGAGAAGACTAAGAGGGGATCTATTAATGTCTAGAAATATCTGAAGGGTGGGTGTCAAGAATGGGTCAGTCTCTTTTCAGTGGTGCCCTGTGACAGGAGAGGGGAAATGACACCAAGTGACAACACAGGAAATTCCACCTCAACATGAGGAAAAACTTCTTTCCTGTGAGGGTGACAGAGCCCTGGGACGGGCTGCCCAGAGAGGTTGTGGAGTCTCCTTCTCTGGAGACTTTCAAGACCCATCTGGACATGTTCCTGTGTGACCTGCCCTGGGTGTTCCTGCTGCAGCAGGGGGGCTGGACCTGATGATCTTCAGAGGTCCCTTCCAACCCCTGTGATTCTATGAATTTTATCATGCTAGAAGTACAATCTGTGGGAATGTTATTTTTCCATGGAAAAAGACTGTACTATGTGTGGTGTATTATCAGTGACTTAGGTCGAAGTGTTTGATTAGCCACTGCAGTAAATCAAATTTTAAAAACCCACAGCAAAAAAACCCCACAAAACAGAAATCCTGAACAGATAAATTTGCACTGATTTACTTAGCCTGACAGAACAACAGGCTCTAAAAATACAGGAGTTAGAGTGATATTAAAGATAAAATCATTTAACACAAAGGACAACACTGGATTAGGACTGAGCAGAGATTCAGTTGACTTGCTAGTTATAGAGGACTTAACCTTTATATGGATAAAAATATCTTAAAAAATCCTATTAGTTGGCATAAAGAGAAGGGGAGAAAAAGCAATTTAGGATAGACTGCAAGCAGTCCACAAAATCAATAGCACACAGTCAACTGAAACAGTAGATGGCTTGGGCCTGATTCTTCTAACCTTACATAGTTCTCTGGCATTTTAGCCTTTTTTTCATTCCTCCTGATCATTTTACCCTTTTTTTCATCCTTCCTGATCATTTTAGCTTATAATGTTTCCAAATAAAATATATCCTTGGGAACAGCAGATCCAGGAGCTGAAGCTTCTATTAAAAAAACAGACTTCTCAGAACTAACTATTTTAATTCCTCCTCACATTTTTTTAAAAATTGCACAGTTAAGATGAATGCAGATTTTTAAATTACAGTAGTAAGTATACAGTAAGTATTAGGTTTCCAGATGAAACCATTACTTGAAATCAGTGTATGTAAATTACATTGCATGAGTTCTAGTCAATACACAAAGGTACAGAACTGATGCAGAGGTCAGTAGCAGCAAAGCACCTGAACACTCTGAGTGGCAGAGATTTTAATTTCAATACCCCATTACCAACAAATATGAGAAAACTGACAGTACTGTAGTGTTAAACTGTTGCTTTTCTAAACTGTTTGATGTATAGAAAACCATTATTGGAAAGTTCAACTGATAAAAATAACTAATTAAAAGGGGAGACTGAGGAAGATACATACCATGTTTTCTACTCGGAGCTCGAAAGGCATAGGGTTGTAGACCATCAACTGAACTTCACAAACATCTCCCTGGACCCACTGGAAATCTACATGAAATGATAGAGAATTAATGCAACAATTACCTAATCATAGTGTTACTAGAACAGTTGCATCAGCTGGGATGTCAGACTGCTATATTTATGTTCTAAAGTAACAGCTCTGTTATTTTCCCAGCCCAAGTCCTACTCAAGTGCATCGTGGGACACAAGCTACTAATCACAGGCAAAGCAACGGGTTAAAGGACCATGGAATGGTTTGGCTTGGAAGGGACTTTAAATATCATCTATTTCCAACCCCCCTGCATGGGCAGGGATACCTCCCACTAGACCAGGTTATTCCAAGCCCCATCCATTGGCAACATCAACTCAGGCATCAGTTCCAAACAGGACTGAAACATCCTTAACGTGAAACACTGGAAGGCTTAGACACTTGGGAGTTAGGTACAAAGTACACATGGCCCTGGATAATTAAGATAAAATGCAGCCAGATAACAAATGAACACAGCAGGAAGAAGGAAATTTAAAATAATGGGAAGAAATCTTAACCTAGACACAGCTGATGATGGAGAGAAAAGAAAGGATCACTCTAAATTAAGAAGATAACAGCAGGATGCTGGAAACTTGTGTTTTCTCCCACTAATTTTCTGTGGGAAACATTAAGTAGTTTGGGAGATGCTGTGGGAGGGAAGGATGACACAAGGATCTACAGATACAGGTTTTTCTGAGGTTCACAAAATGGAGGTTTAAGCAATAACACAGATTATTGAATGACTTGTGAAAATACTCAGGAAAGACAATGAAGTCAAAAGAAGTCAGGTAATGAGCTGTACTTCCAGTCTCTACCTCACTACCAGAGACAGATGTTCAACTTTACAGACACGTCACACTGACAAGGTTAAAATTTTGGGTTTATTTATTTAAGGAGACAATAAGTTTATGGAAGTGAGATCAGGCAGATCAGCAGCAGAGATGTGGGTTCTGAGGAACTGATTAATGCAGAAAGATTATGTCACACCAGCACTTCATTATTTTTTAAGCCTACAAGATCCTATCTACCTTCCACGTTTCTCGCAGGTAACCACACACACCTGACAGTTAAGATTTAAAACTGAATGTGGCAAGATTCTTCCTACAAGCTGGGAACCTGCAGTCCCAATAAACTAAAGGTGGTTTAACCGTATTTGTTAAGTAAATCATTACTTTAAGCTGATGCATAACATGCAGGGATTAACTTTTACTAGCTTATTACTCAATAATATTCATTACTAACACTTTTTACTAGAATATTAGAAAGTGCCCAGTAAAAAAAAACAACCCAGCATTATTAATATTATGACTGTAATTCAGAGTTAGAAACCATCTGTACTGTAATTGTACATTCACAATCATTTACTATCTGATTACATTTTGCAAGCAATATTAGAGAGCTCAAGGGAGATGCAATTAATGCAAATGTTTAACTAGTGGAAATTAATGCTAGTGGAAATTAAAAGCATACATTCACAGATATCAACAGGTTACATTGCCATGAAACCTTAAAAGCAAAACTGTTGATTAAAACAAAACATTCCAAAGGGCAATTATATGAGATGTTCTGTAAAATTATTTTTATTCAATTGTTCAGTGGTGTCCACAATGTCTTATTCATTCTGCAGCCCCCAAAAGAACCCATTATTCCTCTGAAGAGCTTCAAAGGTATTTAAGCACTGAAGCCCTTCTATGGTGAACTAAATCACTTATAGCAACCAAATTAGGCACTTCAGTCCTAATTTCCACATTATAAGAACCACCACAAGATTGGAATATCTTTCTCTCAGTGCAACCATAGAACAAGTTTTTCAGAAAAAAAAAGTTACCAGAAAAACATGTGGGAAGCTCTGGATTTCATCCAAGTATCTTGAACAGAGTGAGAAGAATCATTCACTGGAACAACCTTCCCAGGGACACAGTGGAATCCACATCATTGGACATTTTCAAGATGCAACTGGACAGGGTGCTAGAGGATCTTACTTAGGCTTCCTTTTCCATGAAAGGCTGGACCAGAAGATCTTTCAAGGTTCATTACAGCCTGGGCTGTTCTATGATTCTATGATCTATTGGGGCAGGGGGGGAATAAATACATACAGACTTCTTATTCCCTCAGGAAAACATGGCTATTCCTACCTCCACTGAAAAGACACTCCCACTTCTAGATATCTCACAACCTGCCTCTGGTTTGCCTTCTCTTTGCAGTAGATCTACACAGCCCATGTGAAAGACACGAAGATCATTCTGCAGAATTGCTTCCTTGAAGGAGAGGCTGAGTTGCCAGATTTAGTTCTGGGCCCCTCAGTTCAAAAAGGACAGGGAACTGCTCGAAAGAGTCCAGCGCAGAGCTACGAAGATGATTAGGGGAGTGGAACATCTCCCTTATGAGGAAAGGCTGAGGGAGCTGGGTCTCTTTAGCTTGGAGAAAAGGAGACTGAGGGGTGACCTCATCAATGTTTACAAATATGTAAGGGGTGAGTGTCAGGCAGGAAAACATGGCTATTCCTACCTCCACTGAAAAGACACTCCCACTTCTAGATATCTCACAACCTGCCTCTGGTTTGCCTTCTCTTTGCAGTAGATCTACACAGCCCATGTGAAAGACACGAAGATCATTCTGCAGAATTGCTTCCTTGAAGGAGAGGCTGAGTTGCCAGATTTACTAAAGGAGCTATATTATACATTCTCACTGCTTTAGATTATTAAAAAAAAACAACCACCAAAACTCCAAAAATTAGTAGTCTTATTTCTTATGATTAGTGGGCTATGAAAGCAATTTAGCCAGAATATAATTATCCCATTTATTGTTTCCAATCGGAAAAGCTCATCAAGCTGAAAACTGAAAGCTTTTCCTCAAGACCTTCTAAAGGGTTTTGTTCCCCTTCAGTTTCTCAGCAGGATCATAGAAACATAGAATGCCAGGTTGGAAGGGACCTCAAGGATCATCTGGTCCAACCTTTCCAGGTACTACTACAGTTTATATGAGGTGGCTCAGCACCCTGTCAAGCTGAGATGTAAAACTGTCCAATATGGGGGAAACCACCACTTCTCTTGGGAGACTATTCCAATGTTTGACTGTCCTCAGGGGAAAAATTTATCTCATGTCCACTTGGGATCTCCCCAGGAACAACTTGTGCCCACGATTCCTTGTCTCGATTCCCTTTGTTGTAACAACAGTTCAACCAAAACAGGGTTTACGTGTTTCCTCACAGGAGCAACTTGTGCCCATGATCCCTTGTCTCGATTTCCTTTGTTGTAACAACAGTTTAACCAAAACAGGGTTTACGTGTTTCCTCGTAAGAAAAGCAGAGTTCGTTTGTTATTGTTGGGGTTTTTTTTAATTAAATTCAAATACATGCCATTAAAACAGTCTCATTAGTTTCAAAGTTTCTTAAATCCCTCCCCTTCTTGCAAAGGAAATATCTGCTTTTGTTTTGCATATTCTTTTTGTTCACAAAACTCGAATGAGACATTAAAAGCTTTGACAAGGGAACGCACTGTGTATAGACTTCAAAAGACAAACGCTTTGCAGGATCACAAGCAGTTCACACATCTCCTTAGGCTAAACAAAAACCTAGAAGAAGAAACTGCCCCATATAATACACAACCTCTGTGGAACACAAAGCACATCAATCCTGAATTTGGACTGTTTAAAAAAAAGCAGGTTCCTTTTGTATTCATCAAGCAATAATACTACTGCATAGTACAATAAGATTAGCAATAATGGCAACCTAAGAGATTTAGTGCTGAAAATTTAATTGTCAATCAATTTTTAACAAATTAAGCGATATTAAGCAAGCCATTTTCCAAATAAGTATTTCTTTATTGAGAAAGCAGTTTAAGGTGTTCCCATAGATCTAGATATTAAAAATGTATAACCTTTATTTAATTCTTATTCCTTATTCTTGTTTTAATTTCTTATCCTTTTCCTTTTGAAACCAAAGTAGCACTTCAGCAAAGAGGCACTATGTCTTTCCAAACTGCCAGCTGACAATCCATACCTTTCCATCTTTCCTAATTCCATGTGTTTCACCTATTTATTGCACACACATCATCATAAAACAAATTAGAAAATGAGCCTGCTCCTCTCAGGGTGAGGGATAGTATCTAAATCTTAACCAGGGGTCCAAAGCACGGGCAGGTTGAATCCAACATCTAACCTAGAAGATTGTGTGGCAAAAGCCTGTGGCCCCACGTGTTAAAATGAAGCAACCACAGGGATTCTCCATGTACTGACTCTGCAGGGCCAGGCACAAGCCAGATGAACAAGCCAAGTGATTGCTACACTGCTGGAAATAATGAATTTTAAAAGTAAATGAAGGATGACTGTAGGGAGGGTAAAAAGAGAGAGAAGAAAGGAGGAGTCCCAGAGAGCAAAGAAATACCCTACAATACACACTAATACACTACACTTAACAGGAGAAACAGAGGATATGGGAATGGGAAAGCATTCTCCATCTCATGTGCATCCATGCTTGAAAGGAGCAGGGAGCAGGGGACAGAAAATGAAGTTCAGGTGCTGAGAAGCACAAATGCTTGTCCTACTCATAAGTTTCTGCTCTAACCTGTTCCTGAACTACCTGTTTATTAGGGCCACCACTGATGGTGTGGAGCTGAATGGTCAGTGGTTTACAGTTCCAAGCATGATACAGAAAGTCTAACAAGCCCTTATGACATTTCCAAGTATTGTTTTTCTACTTTCTCTTTTTTTTTAGTGATGACACAGCATTAACACCAGTAACATAAGGAGCCAAACTGAGATAAACACCATTCTGCCAATGTCTGTCTTCAAGTTTTTACAATCAGTTCTATTCCATAGTCACACGAGTCCTTTTTGTGCTGACACAAACATTTATGTTTAAAATTATCACACATGTGAAGTGCACAAAAGCAACAAAAAAGGCCCACCACTATTAAAAACCTTCTATGGCTGATGAGCTACCACAGGCCAGTTTCCTATGAGTTTGTATCTTCTGTCCAAGAAACTGCAGCTCATTCATCCTAATCATTTCATGTTCATACAATCCCCTTATTAGAAAAGGATAAATCTCAGAAGTGCTCAGGGCACCACACATGATACCTTGCTAAGCTGGCTGCTGCCAAACAGAACGTGTCAGAACTCAAGTTTTCCCTGGTTTCTCTTTTGTTTGAGAAGGAAATACAACTAGTTAATTACTTCGAAAATCAATTTTATCATCTACGAGGCTTTTTCCTCTTTGGAACTTGAAACTGTCCCACAGAGAACAAAGCTTTGCTCTTTCAGAACTTCAGGCTAAAATGCTGATTATTTCAAATACAAGCACGTAATGTTCAGGAATGCTGTCCTTGACCAAGAAAGATTTTCTCATTTAACATAACAGAGGAAAAATACTACAAAATCTTCTTACCTATTTTCTTATTTCGTTCTTCCCCTCGACTGTGTGCGATTATTGGAGAATAGATGAAGGGGCTTTTGGTTGACATGTTCTGGCCAAGCAGACTCTTTATTTTGTGAGGTCGGAGACTGGTTGGGAGGTTCAACAGCTTCACAGATCTGTTGAGTACAAAAATTTTACAGATGCTTGTGTTAAAAACTAACTGATAAGTAGCCAATGACACTGCGAGCAGCTACTGATCAAAATACCTGAAATGGAAAATGTGAAGTAAACATCTCCAGCACAAAAGAAAGTCCTACCAACCCTAGGAAACTAAAGTTTCATAAATCTCTCAGAAAACAAATACAAAGCAAAAACATCTCTTGTAGAAATTCACAAAACCCAAAGTAGCCATATCAGTGATTTGAAATCCAGATAATCATTTCCAAGTTAAGTGCACACTGAGCAACAGACACACCACAAGTCCAGTGCAAAAAACCATTAGATATTTTACTTAAACCCCCACTAGAAGACAGACGACACTTCATTGGACAATGTAATACAAATAAAGAACTACACCAAGAGTAATAAAACAGATTTCAAACCAATTAAAATGCACACAGTTGCTTCTGGAAGGAAGCAAAAGTCCCAGAAATTGTAGTGAGTTTGCTAAATGACCATAAAGCAATTAGAAATACAAACCAAATAATTTATTAAACTATATTCCTGTTAAGACCCAAATCCTAAAATACCATGCAGAAAAATCAGTGGCCTTCCAATGCTGATGGGAAGTTAAGAACTAAATATTGGGCATAAGAACAAGAAATAAATTAGTGGATGTTGAGTGAAAGCAGTAGTATTATAGAAGCCTGTTAAGACTCCTAGTTACATAAAGAGTCAGGAAGGAGCAAGGAAAGGAGAACCAAAAGGTGAACAAAGGCAACAATCACTACCAAGTATCATACCTATTTTGCTACAGTCTATTAAGGTTGAAGTATTTGTGCTTTTCATTAATAAAGTCATCAAGAGCCAAGAATCTCCCCTTTATCATCACTCATGGATTATATCTCCACCTTTTTAAAACATTTTCCAGTAGAAAAAAAACAAAACCAAAACAAACCCTATAGAACAAAACTACATTCTTTGCTAATTGCTAGAGGGATGCCACCACACTGAGGCAGACAAGCAAGGAGTAAACAAACTACTCACAAAACTTCCCATCAGTGAACTTTTAAAAGATACTTAATGATATAATAGGCATATACCAAGATGTGAACAAGAGTCTAGCTGAAACCCTAGGAGTCTTCTAAAACCAATTAAGAGGCCAAGTGCTAATATGCTGGAAAACTCCAACTTGTTCAAGGATTAACTCCTTTCTCCCTTTCCTACAGCCTCCTCGAATGATTTGATAGTGTCATAATAAATGAGAAGAGGTTGCAAATGGTTCTCCACCTATTTGACAGCCAAAGGAGACAGGTACTATACATATATTAAGGAAGATAGCTTTGGTTTTATATTGAGTGATACTAAGATTGTTGCCAGAAGAGAGATATGTAAGAGACACTAAGTGCCTGACAGCACTTATGCTCTCAAAATAAAGTATTTTCCCTTCAAAATATTTTCATGGACACTTTTGCTCTAACTTCTCCCTACAGTCACTTAACTCAAGTACTAGAAAGGACTGTACAAGTTCACTTAATCAACTTCTACTTTTTTTAATATTTAATTTTTCTTTCCAAAAAATAAGGGCAAGGTTAAAATTTCATACTAAACTCTTTCAGGAGAGGAAATACTGTATTTAGCTAGGAGTCTGCCTTCAGAATGGACTGCCCAGGGAACTCACCTGAAACACAGTCACCTGAACTTGTTACTGGACATCTTGAAGGTCAGTGGAAAATGTGTCAATACAGTCCAGTAATTCAACTCATTCCAAAGTAAAATATCTAGATTGCATTACAAAACACCAGTCTTGACTGCAAATATGATCTTGGACAGTCAAATAGAACTAGCTTAGCTCTATACATAGATTTTTCGCAAAGCTAAATCAACCTGAAGGTCAGCTGATAATAAATTAGTCAGCTCCCTTTCCCACTGTAATACCTAGCTTGAGTTCAAACAATTAAGGTTTTGACATCATCTGTCCACACTGCTTGTTTTCCAGCAAAGCTGATTCCAGCTGCAACTCCAAAGTATGCCCTGGACCACTGAACAGGCACCACAAAGCAGGTACCTGCACAGTCATCCCAGATGCCCTGTCAGCATTGACTGAACCCACTGAGGGGACAATGCTGGAAGACCTCAGGGAAAATGCATTTCTTGCCCTGGGAGTGTATGTTAAAAGCAGAGTGACTCAGGTGGCTCATCAGTGTCTTGGTACCAAGTCCAACCAGGAGACAAAACACTGTTTTTCCAGGACATTACTGGAAGCACTGTGACTGTTCTGATCCTGCACACAACTCCATCTGACCACATATACCCATCTGCTCCAGTCAAACACACACCTTAAGGGAGCATCTCCCACGCAACAGTTAGTCTGAACAGACAAATCCAGTACCTGAAGGGTGACAGGAAAACTGGGGACTGACTTTTGACAAAGGGCTTGTAGAGAAAGGACAAGGAGGAGTGAATTAAAACTGAAAGAGGGGAGATTTAGGTTAGACATCAGGAGGAAATTCTTCACTATGAGGGTCGTGAGACACCGGAACAGGTTGCCCAGGGAAGCTGTGGAAGCCCCATCCCTGGAAGTGTTGAAGGGCAGGTTGGATGGGGCTTGGAGCAATTTGGGCTAGTGGGAGGTGTCCCTGTCCATGCAGGGGAGGGTGGATCTGGATGATCTTTAATGTCCCTTCCAACCCAAACCACTCCATGTTCTGTGATTCTATGTTAAATGCACTACAAATGGTTAGACAAGGTCTCTTTCTTCAGTAAATGTGGAAAAAAACACAGAAGTTAGAAAAAAAAAATAGTAAAACTAGTTACATCATGAAAAAAGGTCAGAGAGTAAAACATTAATTTTCATTTTAGTGACTAAAAGAAATCTCAAAATAAATATAATTTTCACTCTTTGCTTCAACACCATTATCTCTCAGAACTCCTGCTTCATGAAATGTTTGAGGACATCCCAGTGAGAACACAAATCTCTGTGTGAACTCTTTTCAATAACTCCTACCATGTTTTTTCTGACTAGAAATTACCTTTCCTTCAAAGAGCCACTTCCTGACCAAGATTTTCTTTTAGCCTTTTTCTTTTATTAATGATGCCAAATGTCTGTTTTCTCTCTCTCTCTGACTCTAACACTTCATGCCAGGCTTTAATCCGAACAAGGTGTTATTCACTGGACTGAGTGAATGATGTGCCTGGGCTTGGAGACACAAAAAGGGACATAGATTTCAGATAGGCCAGTGAAGGTGTCAGCTTGAAACTGCAGCATCTGGAAAGAAACAGCTACAAGAGGCATCAGTTTCAGCTGAGCTCCACACCCCATGGATGGAGACAGCATCCAACTCCTGCACCTTCAGTATGATCAGGTATCTACCTTAAATCGCAGCTGCAATTACAAAATAATTCTCTTCAATTGTATCAGAAACTCTTGAAAGATATGGGTTGTTTTAAAAAACACCTCTCTCCTTCTGAAACTAAAGGCCATAGAAAGTATTTTCTCCTCAAAGGTTCTATTTTTGCCAAAGAACTTATCAAAACAACTTGACATTTTGACATTTTTCCATGCTCTCACAAACAGGTTCTGTAAACTGAGAAGACTTCATCCTCCCAGGAGCCTTTAAAATTTGACAGGTGCTGTGGGAAAGTTGAAGACTGTATTTTGGAGTCTTACCTCACAATAGGCAGCTTGGTGAATGGAACAGGAGGTAACTTCAAACCATCTGGAAGGGTGATGAATTCCATGGTACCAGGGCACTTTGCTGTGTAGCTCTCCAAACTCTGTGTTACATCTTTCTTTTCTAGAAAATAATTTCATTTAAAATAAAATTAAAAAACAATTGCAAAATTACACATAACTAATGTTTCAGATGAAGTTATAAGCTAACATTGTACTTACTTTTTCATATTGAAACAAAGTAACTCAAATGGAATTCCAACTGTTTGCAAGCAGTGCTTAGAAATATGCTTCAGAAGCCTCATTGGATAGATCAAACATAATTAAGTGGCCTTAAGCAAGACAGTTTTCTGGAGATTTCAGAATTTTTGAAGTGTTAAACTATACCTGCTTTTTGTTCATACTTGCATTATTGAGATAAAAAATTCTAGTATTTATCTACTTATATCCAGCAAAATTGGCCCCAAGCTTGTTAAGGTTAATAATAATAGCATTGTTATATGAACAATCCCTGTTCTGAAACATTAGCTGAAAAAAATATCTAAGGCAAAGAAGAGAAACAAATTCCTGGGCTGCATCACAAGAAGTGTGGCCAGCAGGGCCAGGGAGGGGATTCTGCCCCTCTGCTCTGGTCAGACCTCACCTGGAGTACTGTGTACAGCTCTGGGGCCCTCAGCACAGGAAAGACATGGAGCTGTTGAAGAGGGTCCAGAGAAGGGCCATCAAGGTGATCAAAGGGCTGGAGCAGCTCTGCTCTGGAGACAGGCTGGGAGAGTTGGAGCTGTTCAGCCTGGAGAAGGCTTCAGGGAGACCTTAAAGCACCTTCCAGTGTCTGAAGGGGCTCCAGGAAAGCTGGGGAGGGACTTTTTACAAGGGCATGTTGCTGTAGGACAAGGGGCAATGGTCTTAATCTAGACCAGGGTCCTTTTACAAAGGACTTTTTACAAGGGCATGGAGTGAGAGGGCAAGGAAGAATGGAATAAAACTGGAAGAGGGGAGATTCAGTTTAGACCTTAGGAAGAAATTCTTCACTATGAGGTTGGTGAGACACTGGAACAGGTAGCCCAGGGAAGCTGTGGCTGCCCCATCCCTGGAAGTGTTCAAAGGCAGGGTGGGTGAGGCTCTGAGCAACCTGGGCTGGTGGGAGGTGTCCCTGCCCATGCAGGGCGGTTGGAACTAGATGATTTTTAAGGTCCCTTCCAACCCAAACCATGTAATGATTCCTTAGAGCCGCTTCTGGAAGCAAATGTTGGAGCCTTTCTCCCTTGACTGAGCCCCTCTGCTACCCAACCTCTGTGGTATAAATGGATGACACAAATTTCTCTGCTTAGTTAAATCGACAATGTTGTAGTAACTGCCAAAAACCTGCTACAGACTGCTGGCTCCAAACGGCTCTGAATTTTCCTAGCACCTGCCTGGCTGTCATGGTATTTTGACACAATCAGAAACTGCACAAAGCTCCTAGAAGGACCTATTCAACTACGGTGTCTCCTGACCCATAGTTTAGAAGACTGTGACTGCAACAGCTGTCACCAGTACTTATCTTTCTCTTTGAAAAGACAAGACAGAAAACAGCTGCTCCTCAAGGTCTTTATCCACCTAGTGTCTTCATGCTGGTACACAACAGCAGGCAAGCAATCACCACTTGATCCTTTAACCTGAATTCACCTCAACAGCTTTAAAAGCTTCTCTGCAGCTGGAGACACTACTGGATACTCTTGTGTACGTACAGAGACACGTTTAGTGAAAAACTATGAGCTATTTCATCCAAAATAACAACATTCACATATTATTATTTTCCTCCACTTTTTCTCCATGCTCACTGAAGGACCAGGATCACAGAACAGTTGTAACCAAATAAAGCTGAACAAAGCCACAGTCAGTACCGCCACGCCAGCACATCCCAATTTGTTCAGTATAACCTCCCAGCACAGCTTCCCCATTCCACACCAAATGGTTCTCATTCCCTTTCTTTGGCTGCTTCTGACAACTGAAAATTTTGGAAGTCTACCAATATTACTGGTAAATTTTTGCCCATTTCATGTCAGCACAACAAACATGGGTTTCGTCCCAAAGCTGCTTCAGACATTTTTCAAACATGAAAAGACCAAAACCTGAAAGCTTCAGTTACACAGTTAGAAACCATTTGTGAAAGGGGGGGGGGGGGGGGAAATGAAGTCTTTCTGCTACATTCACAATAATGATGAAACAATCTCACAGAAAAATGAAGCCATTAAAATCAGAAAAGGGCAGGAAAGAAGGTCAGTTATAAAGTAACATTTTTAAGCACTTCAATAACCATGATTTAACAATATCACACAAACAGCATTTCATGCCTTGGCAGATAAAAGAGAAAATCAGAACAACACAATTGCTAAAACTCTATGTTTTAGTTCTTTAATATTTGCAAAAAATCAAAATATCTGCATTCAATCTAAGTCAAATATTGAAAATACAATATTTATTCTCTGGTAAACAACTCGTTGGTCTTGTTTTGATCAAGTCATTGTGTTCCTCAGAGAACAACCTCAAGCAAGGTAGAATGAAGGAAGGAAACAGTTTATGTGTGACCTGCCAAATACGCTGGAAGACACACAACTTTCTGTTTCCTTATGGAACTTGCTAAAAGATTCTAAAAGGAAGCTGGAAAACAAATAGAACTGTACAGTGGTGAAGGTTGGAAGGGACCTTAAAGATCATCTACTTCCAACCCCCCTGCTATGAACAGGGACATCTCCCACCAGACCAGGCTGCACAAGCCTCATCCAACCTGCCCTTGAACACCTCCAGGGATGGGGCTTCCACAGCCTCCCTGGGCAACCTGTGCCAGTGCCTTCCTACCCTCAGGGTGAAGAATTTCTTCCTGATGTCTAACCTAAATCTACCCTCTTTCAGTTCAAATAGTTAAAAGTGTTTAGACTTCAATTTCCCCATGGTGACAAGCCCAGAATCAGAGTTTTAACAACATAAAAAATCCCTAGTACCAAGGTTTCTTTTTCCTGGCTGAACTTCTCCTTCCCCTTTAAAAATAGCAGAGAATGTTCATAAAGGAGAAGCCTGAGGAGACCTCCTACAGCAGTCAGCCCCTGAGAAGGAGAAGCCAGCTGACCCACCCAACTCTCAGGAAGAGTCAAACGTCTCCTTGATAAATCGCCACTAAAACATAACCAGATAGAAAAGTCAGCCTGAGAGCAGAAAAAGAAAAAGAACAGTAGTTTCTGCAGCCAGAAACATAGATATTTCCTTCACAAAAAGAAAAAAAAAAATTGCTTGGTGAACCCCTTTACAACTAGAAAAGGTAAAAAAAAAGCCCATCTGCTGCCATAGCCCTGCCATCAAGATATGATTTATTTCAACTAAAAAATAATTTTTAACAAAATATCATAGAATCATAGAATGGTTTGGGTTGGAAGGGACCTTAAAGATCATCTAGATCCAACCCCCCTGCATGGACAGGGACACCTCCCTCTAGAACAGGTTGCTCCAAGCCCCATCCAACCTGACCTTGAACATTTCCAGGGATGGGGCAGCAAAAACTTCCCTGGGCAACCTGTGCCAGTGTCTCACCACCCTCATAGGAAGGAATTTCCTCCTGATCTCTTAACCAAAATCTCCCCTCTTGCAGTTTTCATCCATTCACCCTTGTCCTTTCTCTACAAGCCCTGGTAAAAACTCCTTCCCCAGCTTTGCTGTAGGTCCCACAGAAGACCCTCACAAAGGCTGAAGTAGAAATTGAGTATTCACAGGCAGTAACAGCTGCAAACTTCTGACCTTGAAGTTAAACACTAGATGACAGCATGTAGTCCCTCAACTGCAGTTCCAGAGAGATGCAGATGGACTATTGTCCTACTGCATACTCAACCTATCTGAACACTCAGTACATCACTCTTTACTACCACAAACAAGCCAACATTTTAAGTGAAGTGCCTTAGCAAGACTTGCATGATCAAACCATTAATTCAGTATTTCAGCTGTGTAATTCAGTAGAACAGGTCTCCTCTCACTTGCAGACAAGCATCACCTGGTTCTCCATTACATTATGACTGATGAGTATTAGATGACAGCAGTTTCTACAGTTTTAGTAAACAAGCAGCATCTCCAATATTGTTCTGAAAAGTACATGTATCCAGTACACATGACTTCAAATTGGTCAGAGCTCTGATACTTGTCCAAGCTGCTTTGAAAGCAAGACAAGGAATACTGGGGTTTCATTCTGATATTCTCTACTGCAATGAATCTCAACACTCACCCACCTTCCTACACTGCCTTGAACAGCTACATTTCAGAACCTTACTATATTAGTTAGGAAGTACACACAACTTGACTGGCCAACTGGATGGCAAAATGACCAAAGCAAGTGAGAATTAATGGTCTTTTTGTTTGTTTGTTTTTCTTTGCCTCCTCAAGGCACTGTTTGCATCTCCTTTTTCCAAGTGTCATGAAGCTGGAACAAAATTAACATTTCTGATTTGTTCTCCACACCAGGTTTTGTCAATAGACTCAAAAGCTATTCTTAGGGGGAACAGCAGAAATGCACCAGCAGACAGTATATTTGATGAATCCTGTTTCTTTGAGAAATCAAGCTAAATAATTCTCTAAATAAATACAGCTGAGACTAAAGACTAATAAAATTCACAGTTTGCTGTGGAAAAGAACAGGAACAACAAGCAAATAATTCATCTATGCTACCCAGAGGGCTAGACACTTTCCTGGACAGAACATAATGATCATGGAAAGTGGCTCCATCCACACAAAGCGAATGAGGGCAAAAGGATTCAGTTATTTGTTGTGTGATAGCATGTCTAATAGCTCATCTTTGAAAAAGAAATTATCAGCTTCGCTACTAACTCTGCAGGAGGGAGGGAGAGAAGATAATCTTTGCAACATAAGTAAAAAGAGAAAAGAATGCTTCTTCTTTCTAAGATGACCACCACAGAGAGAGAGAGAGATGGCAAGAGACTAACTAAACACACCACAGTGTTCTATTCTAAGGTTTTTAATAATTATATAAAATCTTTACACATTAAGTCACAGCCAGTTTGAAATTCACAGCTATCACAAAACTATTTTTAGATAAAAACTCATGAAATATTGACACAGCTGAAGTCAGAGTTCAGAAACATG